ACGCACTCCGTTGATAATTATGAAATGTTATAAAAATATTTCCATTAATTGAAAATATGAAATATAAATTGTTTTTACCTGAAAATGACAAAAAGTTGATAAATATATTATTATACCCACTTACGTGAACTTGTGTTTCATCCAAATTCCCAAATTTTTGGCAATTGTGTTGTTATCTTCCTATCAAGAGAGGTCATGGACTCTAAAGCCTTGTTACGTCTCTCCATTTGTCGATCCCTATTTTTTGGGTAGTTTTTGCAGTTTAAATGGCCTACTTAAAATGTATCTGCAAAATTTTTAAAATAGGATAAATTTAGTTCATGACCCACGAATCGCATTTCCTAATAAGTGTCCTTTTCTGGTGTATAGATAAGACTTTATTTATAATTAATGTTGCCCATCTGAGCAGCTCAGAAGATTTCAGACTATTTAAAAATTTCCGAATGTGTTCAATGAAAAAAAAACGCACCTTCAGGCTGAGCACTGTCTTTTAATCACGAGAAAATAAAAATTATCGTTCATGGTAAACTCTGTAATGTTTACTTTTTTCTCAAATTTAGAATTATATTTTTTTACATACTACTTCCATTAATGCTTTAATTTACGATACATGTATACTTAATAAATATTACATCATATGCTGATAAAAAAATCACGTGCACGGTCATCTCAAGTTTGGTAACATAGTGTACGAATAATTTTAAACATTTGTCTATTTCAGTGGGTCAACAGTAAGTTTACGAACTTACAACGCAAAAATTCGGGACTCAATTGCACGCTGTGGATAGAGTGCAGATAGCCCATTGTGTAGCTTTGCACTAAGAAACCAACTACAACATATGTTTCTATTAATAAACATGAAACATAGTTTATGTAAACAAACAGGAGAAGGGAACCCTAGTAATATGCGTAACAGATTTAATTTAAACAAGAAAATGTTTCGGATGAACTTATCTCATTACAAACAATTTTTTCATTATTTTCAAAGTAATTATACCCCGTAGAAAATGTAATTAATTATATTCACTCCTACTACGTCAATATATAAATAGATACTATAATATATTTCATGATGCACTCTCTGGAATTTTTACATCAAGTTTCTATAACATAAAATATTTTTTCCAGTACATTACATAACCTTAGTACTTAATAAATTCAGTTTATACGAATACTTTTGAACCTTTATTCTTGTCAGCGATAAAGACTATTACTACAATCGGAATTGGTAAGGCAACCATTTACAAGCTACAAACCCTAAAAATTCAATTCTATCACTTAGGATTATTACATAAAAAAGCAATATCCCTCTTTTTCTCTTATAATCCAACTATAATAGCTTCTGCCTTCCTTTTCCTTGAATAACGTAATATAATGTAAAGTTTTCCGAATTCAAACATGTTCTTATAAACTACAATATAATGTGCACATACAGAGAAAGAACGAGAGAAAGAGGTTGGTTATATGTTTGATTTGTCCATCATAAATACAATTTATTTTAGAATATAATCAAAACCAACAATCAAACATTACTCTATCAATGATTCCACATCCCTCTTGCATCGTGGCACAATATACAAAGTGCTACGTTAAGATTTATAAACTAAGTAGGTTTTGTGTTCTGAATTTCTATGTATTTTAAAATACCTCAAAATGATCTTCTTCCTGTTCTTTTCATAACTCGTTGATTCTATATAAAAAACAAATATAAGTTTTACAAAAACACAAACTATATATCGCGTTTCATCGTCATGGCAGTAGATTAACGTAGTTGTAATATAACTTTCTTTCTTATTCGCCAGGGAAGTTGCTAGGTTATATCTTAATCATAAATAGACGGCCAAGGATAACTTGCTTGACATTACGGAGGCTTACCGATTTTTTTATGCTGCAGGAGTAAAACGCTAACTTTTCTACGTTGGTTCCTGTATTGGTATTGCACAGACTAAATCTTTTACAATATTAAGTAATAAAAACGTCTATTTGGTGACTCTTCTTTTCTCATAAAGATTGTACGGATCTGAATGGGGTCCGAGATGTCTTTATAAGGCTATAGAAAGTATTTTTCTTGCAGCTTGTTGTTATTGGGCGAGTTTTTTCCTTTCTACTGAATTAAATAAGAGTAAATCGATTGATGGCAAGTACATATAGTGACGTCACTTGTGGTCGCTTCCCTTACATTCTCAGTGTAATGTCTCTGTAAAATTGTATGCTAAGAACGCATTCTCAGTGAAATGTCTCTGTAAAATTGTATGCTAAGAACGCATTCTCAGTGAAATGTCTCTGTAAAATTGTATGTTAAGAGCGCATTCTCATTGAAAAAGAGCGTTAGGTTGTGGTCAGGCGAACAGAGTTATTTTTATAATTTATGCTTACTGAGATATTATTTTTTTCAAAACAATTTAGTTCTACAGATATTGAGACAAAAGATAGATTGTATTAAAGAAACGTCACTTTGTTATATTAGTAATAATCAGTTTAACAAACTGTGTTCTGAAGCGTATTGTACTTTGACTTTTATTTTATTTTTCCACTTAAGGTAAGTCGTTTTGTTATATCAGTAATACTCCGTTTAACATTGTGCGTTCTGAAATATAATAATGGGTTGTTACAGTTAACACAAATATAGGCGACGAAAATAACAAAATTAAATAATAGGTTGAACAATCACCAAGTTTCTTTTAATAAAAAAATATATAAAAAAACAAACTTGGCGATTGTTCAACCTATTATTTAATTTTGTTATTTTCGTCGCCTATAT